AAATCGAAAAATGAATATTTTACTAGATATTTTATGGTTTATGTAAAATGAAGAAATTATTTCAAGTCTCATAATTCGGAAAGTACTCAATGAAAAAATACTTTGTCATGGTTTTTTGAAAAGCTCTCGAAGTAAGCTATAAGAATATGTAATGAAAAATAGGGGATTCCATTTAAGAAATTGAAAGTGACCTTCACGTGATCTTGACAACACTCTTCAAGGTCATACTGATGTTGCTATGTAATGCATTACTTAAAACCCTACAACTTTTGTCTGAAACATTTATTTCTAAAACGCATAGTTTTCGAAAAATTTAGGGGTTTCCATATTTTTTCCGCGCCCTGTATAATGTAAATACAAGCTTTCGATTGCGATCAGTCCGAATAAGATAGGTGAATCTCTTGAGAAATAATAATCGTATATCAGAATTGCGATATTTTTCTTGTTCATCTCTATTGATTGCGTTCAATAGAAAAAGCTACTTTGCTTAGATTCATCCAAAATTAAGAACATTTTCAGATTCACGAATTTTACAACACTTGCAAAGCAGCTTTTTCTACTGAACGCAGCGATTGTCAGGTTCAGACTCAAGTACATATACTCGCATGCACACATACAAAGCAATTTTGTCAAGACGCATTTGCAGCGTGCATATATTCACGTTAATATATTCGCATAAGTATAGAAATACTGCTTTAGACAAAATTATATGTATGCATACATATAAAATATAAGAATTTTATCGAATAATAAGAAAGAAAAGTGATAAAATGATTAAAGATTATAAAAATATCGCAGAATGTAAAAAAGAGAAATAAATTTGTTCTAATACGTTTATATATAATTAATAATAATTATATTTATTCATATATAATTACATGTAAACAATCTTTTTTTACAAACATAATTGACGTGGATAAGTATATAAATTTTTATGTTTCCATAATTGGCTATGCAGAAAAAGATTACAACATATATAATCATATTTAAATGTATATAATTATTCCACAATATATAATTGTATATGTGTGTGTGTGTGTGTGTGTGTGTGTGTGTGTGTGTGTGTACATATATATATATATATATATATATATATATATATATACCTATATATATATACCTATATATATATATATATATATATATATATATATACCTATATATATACCTATATATATATATATATATATATATATATACATATATACATTATATAATATATGTAATATATAATATATGAACAATTTTTAATAATTAATTTGAATTAAAGTAAGGTTTTGACATTATATACAGGGTGTTCCATTTTAACTTTGCCATCGAAATATCTCGTAAAGTCTAAAAGATTATAAAAAAGATCTAAAAGATATGAAAAAATGTTTCAAAACAAAAGTTCAAACAAAAGTTGGTAACTTTGACTTTGACTTCGAGATCGAATTTAGTGGTCATTTGAAGATCAACTTAATTTTTTAAAAATGGAATTCCCTATTTTTTATTATATATTCTTGGAGCTTATCTCGAGAGCTTTCCAAAACACTATAATTAAGTTAATTTCCATTAAGTACTTTTCAAGTTATGAGGCTTGAAATCATTTCTTAATTTTACATAAACCGTAAAATATCTTGTAAAATATTCATTTTTCGATTATCTTACCTTAATACTTTTACGTACAAAATAATGAGAGGAATCAATTGGTGTAAAGAAAACACATAGTGGTCTAGGACACCCTGATGTATATATATATATATATATATATATATATATATATATATATACAGGGTGTCCAAAAAAGATGGAGACCCCGAATTTTCTTGAAAGGATGACGTTTCTGAAAAAAATGTTTCAGACAAAAGTTGTAGGTTTGTCAAAAAGATCTATTTACTGATGTTATCAGTTTGACATTGAATGGCGTGGCCAAGGTCACGTCAAGGTCACATCAATTTTTTTTTAAACGAAATACCTTATTTTTTATAACAGAATCTAATAGCTAATGTTAAGAGCTTTACAAAACACTATAATAAAATTATTTTTCGTTAAGTATTTTTCGACTTATGAGACTTAAAAGTTACAGTACCGTCGGCATTAGCATTACCCAAGGTGTACCGCGTGGAGGTTGCCCGATCGGATTTACACCTCTTGTGTGTGTGTGTGTGTGTGTTGCTGGCGGGACGCAATGTTGATTTAAAAAGCTCTTGACATCATTTGATCAACAAAAGCAAGATAGGTACTGTAACTTTTAAGTCTCATAAGTCGAAAAATACTTAACGAAAAATAATTTTATTATAGTGTTTTGTAAAGCTTAACATTAGCTATTAGATTCTGTTATGAAAAATAAGGTATTTCGTTTAAAAAAATTGATGTGACCTTGACGTGACCTTGGCCATTCAATGTCAAACTGATAACATCAGTAAATAGATCTTTTTGAACCCTACAACTTTTGTCTCAAACATTTTTTTCAGAAACGTCATCCTTTCAAGAAAATTCGGGGTCTCCATCTTTTTTGGACATCCTGTGTATATATATATACATATATATATATATATATATATATATATATATATATATGTATATACTTGTAACATTCTATTTTATTGCTTTCATATAACAATTAATATAACAGGATAATATGTAGACCAAAAGAAAATATTTCCTGATAATCCTGTATAAATCTCCTTCTCTCTCCCCCCCCTGTACTAAGATTTCTCAATTATTCATTTGTCAATGTTTTGGATTGTTCAAAATGTGAAAAACATCTTGTATATAATGACTATGATGTATTTAAATCTCGTATTATATAACATAATTATCTTATTTTACTCTTATGTACAAAATAATGAGAAGAATTAATTGGTGTAAAGAAAATACATAGTTGTTTCGAAAAAAATATGTAAGTTGCAATTAACAATTACTTATTTTTTCTTAAAAATAACTATGTGTTTTCCTTACACCAATTGATTCCTCTCATTATTTTGTACATAAAAGTAAGGTAAGATAATCGAAAAATGAATATTTTACTAGATATTTTATGGTTTATGCAAAATTAAGAAATGATTTCAAACCTCATAACTCGAAAAGTATTTAATGAAATCTAACTTAATTATAGTGTGTTGGAAAGCTCTTGAGATGAGCTGCAAGAATATGCAAAAGTATATAGGGTGTCCCGTTTAAAAAGTTGGAGGAAAGTTGGACGTGTTCCTTCAAAGTCAAACTAATGTCCACCATCTTATGTCCCCCTTGAAACTATATAAATTTGTCTGAAATATTTTTCGTATCTTTTAGACTTTACGAGATATTTTGATGGCAATGTAAAACGGAACACCCTGTACACACACACACACACACACACACACACACACACACACACAGGATGAGTAGTTTTTGAGGTAACTTAAAATATTCATTTTTCGATGATTTTATCTCAATACTTTTATGTACAAAATAATGAAAGAAATCAATTAATGAAAAGTAAAATTGTCTTTAACACATAGTTATTTATAAAAAGAGTGTATTTTGTAATAACTTTATGTACTAATAATTTTTAAAAACTACCCTTTGGGAGTAAAATTTAATCTTAGAAACGGTGTCTCAAGAATATAAAACTTGTGCGTTAAATGAGACTTGTAAAAAGACTAATTTAACATATAATAACAATTTTTTTAAAACTACCCCTTCGGGGATATAAAATCTAATATCTTAGATAAAAATATAAATATTATGATGCGATGCGAGCACGCCAAATTTTGATATATTATTTTAATTTTCGATGACTTTTATTTCTGAGCTTACTTGGTAAAGCTTATAATTAATTTCAAAATTAAATATTTATTAATAATAAAAATATGTAAATATATTATATTATAATGCGCCCATTATATTTTTATGTGTAACTTTTCTTAATTCCTCCTAGTTCCGACTTTACTTGATAAAACTTATCATCTCAAAACAAATCGATTAATTATTTATAAGACACTTTTAAATTCAGAATTGATAATTAATATAATCAATGCAATCAATATTATTGCAGTAAGGGCTAAATAGTTTTATTAGTTAGTAGACTTACTATTTGTAATAAACCGTAATATAATAGTGTTGTTTTATATATTGTATAAAATATTTATTTGGATCATAACAGTATATTTTTATATATCATACAAAGTATTGAACTTTGAAAATAATTTTAATTTTGTCGAGAAAATTTATAACATATACGTAAATGCAAGATTGAATTCGTGACAAATATTTCAAATTATAAATCCCCATTAGTTGCTTTAAAGTACTTGGTTAGTTAATTATTGATTTCATATTTAATTTTTATTTTTTACAGGTTAAAACTTATTTTAAAAAAGAAAGATTTTTCTTAATATTTAAGATTTAATTTTGATTTTCTATTTTTTAAAGAAAAATTCTCTTTAGTATTTTATTTTATTTTTTTCAAGAAAATTATTTTTTTAGGAAGATTTTTGTAAATTATTTTTAGGGATATTTTTTTATTAAATATTTCGTTGCATACGCAGTGGAATCTTCTTTATATACTGCACATATTTTTCTATCTTTATAAGGTTCTTTTTAGAGGGATATTATATATAATATTTTAATAACTCATGCTAGGAAAAATTCAAACTATTGCATTTAATACTTATTCTTATCATATCATTCAATTGTTTTTAACAAACAATGAGTGACTAGAACATTTTAAGAATCATGATCTTGACAATATATATCAAACTCAATATCATTGAAAGATTCTCTATTTAATAATTTTATTAAAATTTTGTATTTTTTTATACTTTGTACATGCATACGTGCATTTGTTTCTTTTTTTAATTATTTATTCTGTATACATTAAATATTTTTTATGTATAAATATAATAAATTTTGTTATTATTCTCAGTAAAGATTTTCATAGAAATTATCATTTTTTTTTGTTATTCTTTATCTATAGCAAAAAATTCAATAATTTTTTCTCTATTGCGCATTATATTATATATCATATCGGTCATTACCGTTTGACTGTGAGAATAGGCATTTCCATCTACGATGCATTTTTTAAGAAAAGACTCTTGTGTTGTGACAGCATCCTGAAGCGTAATAGCGACTTCATCCAACAAAGGACTTGTAGCTCTCGTCGGTGCTGCAATCAAAATCAGAAATGGGATGCCATCAATAATTGACAAATTGAATAAAAGTTTCTGTAAATGTTTTTGATGAAGAAAATGATAACATACATTATTATTTTTAATCTAAGATGTCGATTTTTTCTCGACATACTATTGACTTCAAATTCTAACTTAAATCTGTATTTCTTTTTAATTTTAATTTGAGAGAAAAATTTTGTCAAAATCACGAAACGATCAATTGTCAACAAATTGAAATAAGTTTGATTAATATTCATGTAAAATATAAACATTAATATTCGCATGATTAAAAATATAAAATAAAGTTTTTCTTCCTTCTCGAGAAAGTGTAAGCTATTATAAAATACAAGGAAATAAATAATCACAAATTGTACTTTGTTAATAAAAAATCTAATGATTCACGCTCACATAGTTAGTTATATTTCTGTAGTACACCGTTTCTGAAATTAACATTAGATTTCATCCCCAAGGTATGATTTTTAAAATTTTAAAAATTGTTATTATACGTTTAATTATTATTAAACGTTTAATTAGTCTTTCTACACGTCATAACTAACAGTACAGATTTTATATTTTTATGATGCTTCAATTCTGAAATATGAAATTTTATCCTCAAGGGATGTTTATCAAAAATTGTTATTATACATTTAATTAGTCTTTCTCACAAGTCATAACTAATAATGCTAATAAAGGTTATATTCTTGTGATACACCGTTTCTGGAATATTAGATTTCACCCCCGAGAGGTGGTATTTAAAAATTGTTATTATACGGTAAATTAGTCTTTGTAGAAACCTTAACTAATCGCACAGGTTTTATATCTTTATGATACTTCGTTTTTCAAATATTAGATTTCACCCCCAAGGAGTGGTTTTTAACAATTGTTATATTATACGGTAAATTAATCTTTCTTTAAGTCTTATCTAACGGCATAGGTTTTATATTTTTATGATACTCTGTTTCTGAAATATTTGATTTTACCCTCAAGGAGTCGTTTTTAAAAATTATTATTATTATACGCTAAATTAATCTTTGTAGAAACCTTAACTAATCGCATAAGTTTTATATTTTTGTGACGCACCGTTTTTAAAATATTAATTTCACCCTCAAGGGGTGGTTTTTAAAAATTATTATTATACGCTTAATTAATCTTTCTACAAGGCATAACTAACAGTACATATTTTATATTTTTGTGGTGCACCGTTTCTAAACTATTAGATTTCACCCCCAAGGGGTGATTTTTAAAAATTATTATTATACGCTTAATTAGTCTTTCTACAAGTCATAACTAACAGTATAGGTTTTATATTTTTGTGGCACATTGTTTCTGAGATCAGATTTCATCTCTAAGGAATACTTTTTAAAAATTATTATTGTATGCTAAATTAGTCTTTGTAAGAAACCTTAATTAACGGCATGAGTCCCATATTTCTGCGACACATCATTTTCGAGATATTTTCGAGATATTTTCATCCTCAAGGGGTGATTTTTGAAATTTGCTTTTATAAGGAATGGTTTTTGGAAATTGTTACTATAGGATAAATTACTTTTTTTAAAATTTTATTTAACAGCAGAAGTTCCGTATTTTTATGGCTCCGTTTTTAAGATATTAAATTCCACGCTGAAGGGGTAATTTTGAAAATTATTACTGTACGATAAATTAATCTCTCACACGTACGTACACATATACATATATATATATATATATATATATATATATATATATATATGTATATCACACTATGCACGCCTATGATTTTGTCTCTTAAGCATTGTACATATCGAAGCAATAATCGTATACGCACGCTGTGAACGCCGCTTGAGGGACAAACTCGCTTTGCGTGTGTGCGTGCGAGCATATGTACATGAGTCTGAAGAAAAACGAAAACTGTCACAATTCTGATATTCGATCATCATTTCTCAGGATTGACTGTACCGATTTTATTCAAACTGGTCGCAATCAAAAGCTTGTATTCACATTATATTATAAAAATGCCGTTAGATTTTTTCTTAAGCTCTTATTTTCTGAAATATCTTAATCGAAATTTTATATAATATAAAATTCCGAATAAGCTATTTGGGTTACGTTCCAAAACGCAAATAACCGAGGAAAATTTTACTCGATGACTGATTCGAACCAATCGGAAACGCTTAAAAGAGTTTCGGAACGGCTATCGAGTAAAATTTTCCTCGGAGAGTACGTTTTGGAACATACCCCTGGTAGCGCCGCGTCGAGAGCAATGACTCTCAATGCTCGGACCCTGTACATGGCGTCGCGATGCTACCGCGTCGCTCGATACGCATTGAAAATACTTCCACCACAAAGCTGCATTATTCAGCCGAGAAAAACAGTTTCCCGCGATGCTTTTTCGATCTTGTCATGTGTTTGTTAGTGCAGCAGGATATCTTATAATTTATAACTTTTATATATAAGTATATATATATATATATATATATATATATATATATATGGTATATGGTATATATACAATTAGTTGCTGTTATTATTTCGGTCTTAAAATGTTTCTTTAATTTCCTTTCAGGGTATCTAATATCGAATTTGTTACTTAACATTTAGAAAAATTGATCCCAATGAGTGCGACGTTATCGGTGCTAATTTGATTATAAGAATAAAGTATATTAATTAAATGCTGCTCTTATTTTGATCCTAAAATATTTCCCTAATTAATTGGTATCTAAATATATAATATCAAATTTATTGCTCAACTTAGAAAAATCGACCCAAACGAGTGCGACGTTAGTTATTCGATTTTTCTAACAATAAGTCAAACATTGTACAATAATCCCACATTATATTTCATATCATATTTTAAGAGCAACACAAATTAGGAAAGCATTTTAAAACTAAAATAATAATAGCATTTAATTACATTCTTTACTCTTATACTTTATTCTTGAAGGCAAATTAATATAGTCACTCATTCAGATCGATTTCTTTAATAAATTGTAAGTAATAAATTCAGAAATGATTTATTTCGGGAGTATTTAATACAGGAAACAATTTTATAACAAACTGATATTGTTAACTATTTATTTTTAGTGATTTTACTTTTATAGGTGTATATAATATGTCATGTTAGTGTACCTTTAAAAATTTAATATTTTAAAAATCTATTTAAAAATTTTGAGTAATTAATTTACAACAAATTATAGTGTATTTATTTTTCGATTTACGACTCTCCATACATGTTTTTCGGAAGTAAAAATGTTTAATTTAATGGCAAACCTATCGCACCTCTATCTTAATATCATTTTAAATTGAGGAAAACAAATTCACGCTTATAATAACAAATTAGCACTTAATTATGCATTATATTCGAATCGTATTTTTCGTGATAAAGATGTCAAATTCATAAAGATTTTACTTTCCAAAAGTTATTTTTTTAGATCTCTCTGATTTCCGGTTTATAGATACATACTATAATTGTTCAAAAGAGGGAAGAAAAATTATTTTTATTAAAGGAAACTAAATTCCTCTCCTAGATTAAATCATGATCAATACATATAAAAGTGTAGACTCAATCCTAAAATTAATAACAGTTTCTCTTTTTTATCTATGATTTACTTCTATGCTAATAATATTTTTAAAAATTATTATATATTATATAATTATATATAATTATGTAGTATTATATATAATATTTTATAATATTTTATTATATATAATATATTTTTATTAATATAGCTGTACTTTATTGTAGAACTATTATGTTAAACTGAACTACTATTGTAGAATTATTATGTCAGAAATAAGTGCGAAAATATTAAATACATAATTTTTTTTCCTATATGCATTGAAATAAATCAGTTTTTTTTATAATGTAATATAATTAATAATGTAATATATAAAACTTCTACAAAACATGCAGTGTATAAATTCTCTTTTAACTTATAAGTTAGTAAATGTGTATAAACTCTATTAACTCTATAAACTCATTCATTATGTAAAACTAAATCAATCAAATCAGAAAATAAATTAAATTTTAGTATTTGTATCATATCTGATTAATTATTATTTAAATTAGCTATTCGACTTTTATTTTTAATTAACTTTTATTTTTAGTAAAATTATTAAGTATAATATTTAAAATGTGAAAATCATTCTTATTGCTTCTTTTCTTATCTTCTACGATAGATCAAATTAAGATATATACTAAATATATATTAAATTAAGATATATACTAGATGTATATTAAATTGGATTATGGCAATTTATGAACAAAATCTTTTAATGTATATGAATAGGCTTGATTGACAATACAAGTTAATGTCATATTAATAATATGACATTAACTATTAATATGACATTAATAATAATTATGTTAAACATAATAATATGTTAAATCAACACCTATTAATTATGAACCATGTTATCTTGTGATTAATTTTGTTCGACAACAGCAAGAGATAAAAGAAAATGCAGATAAAACAACGTAATTGATTCGATGAATTAATAACGCTTTAACAAACACTTTGCTAACGAAGAATTATTGTTTGCGCGATGTCAAAAGAATCCTCGAATGGCTTCTGTTATCGAGAGGAAAATAAAAAAACAAAAAAGGAATGTGAGAAAGTGGGGATTTCGTTGTTTACTTTTTTCTGTTCGTTAAGCAATTTTCCCGATCACATTAATTGAGATACACATATAAGTCGCACGTATGCATATATGTATAAATATAAATGTGCATTATTATTATCACTATTCATATCATCATCATCATTATTATTATTACGTGAATAAAACCTTGATATCAATTATATTAAATATTAACATTCTTTTCTGGATATTTTATCGCACATAACTAGCACAAATAAAAAAAATGTTGCAAAGATGTAAATGTTTGCATGCTTATTAATATAAATTTATTTCGAAAACTTTACGTATTAATAAAAATTTATTTCAAAAATTTTTCAAGTTAGATCTATTTTTTCTTGCAAAAAAAATAACTTAATTAAGTCAGTTATTTGTTAATCAATAAATACCAATAAATTCCTTACTATATAATATCAAATTTTCAATGTATAAATTTATAATAGTTTTTTTACAAAATTGTAATAAATTTCATAAGAAGCACACATAAAAATTTTTTAAATAAAAAATATTAAAATCTGTATTTATCATGTTATTTTTCTATAATAAATAGTAAAAATATAATAGATTAAAATAAATAATAAATATAAAATTTTTTCTATTGGGAATAATATAAGTTAGATAAAAATTCTATTTTATGTTTTATTGTTATGTTTGTATTATTATTTCGATAAAATCTTATATTTTTCATTCTTTCTCTCTCTCTCTCTCTCACTCTCTCTCTCTCTCTCTCTCTCTTTCACTATTTATTATAGAAAAATATAACATTAATTTAAATGCGGTTTTATCAATATTTTTTAACCAAAAGTTTTTTTTATGACAAATCTATTTTTCTGAGAAATTTTTAAAAATTCTATAATAAATAAGGAATGTAAGCTAAGCATATGTGCGTACGTACGTGCATATATACAAAAAAAGTCTTCTGCATATAACACGTAAGCAAGAATTGAGCAAATAAAGTCATAGAAATTCCCAATCGAGAATACACTGTGGTTATTGCAAATTCATAAGCGGATTTATGTATCGCGATTACTAAAAATATACCATGGAGTAATGTTAAGCGCCTTATCTACGACGCGCAGAAATGTCGTATAATCCGCGCCGAATTTCGCCGATTGTTCCGTAGGAAGTAAAATAATGTTATAACACATTGTATTCTATTATCGACATTTTTTCTTTGAAGTTCATTGATATTTTAAAGTTGGAATATTGAAAATATCAATAACTTTATGCTGATATTTAATTATCGGAATTTCTTTTTTTTTAATTAATATATTATATAATAATACATAAATAATAATATATATAACTATATCCTAATAAACTATATAACTATATAAATATATAAATATAATAAACACAATAATATGATATTGCATTACCATAAATAAAATAAAAATGTTAATTTAATAAATTATGAATTATATATGTGTGTGTGTGTGTGTATATGTGTGTTTAAATATATTTTGTAAGAAGAAAATTTCTTGGATATATTTAAAACTATTACTTTTAAAGTTAAAAATATTATTTAATTATTTAATTTATTATTTAATTTATTATTTGATTTGTTATTTAATTTATTTAAAATATTTAATTTATTAAATTATTTATTATTTAATTTTTAACTTTTAAGTAAAGAAAATAGAAAAGACAGAAGAAAGGAGAGAGAGAGAGAGAGGTTTTAATCTCTCTTCTCTTAAAATATTATACCTCTCAATATTCGCATATTAAGACAAAAAGATTTTATAAACATTTCTTTTTTATGTTACACACATTTGTTGTACGACCAAAAATAAGATTTAAAATACTCACAAACCTACATATGTTTTAGATACATCTTAAATATAATAATAAAAGAGAAAAAGAATATATGGAGGTATTTTCTGATTCCGCAATAATTAGAAAACGAGAGGATTTAAACAGTTTTGTAATATATACTCATACAGTTACTCACCGGCTGTCGAACGAGCGATATGACAGCGTAGCAGGTATGCAACAACGAGCAACATCCGCGGAAGTCTCATTGCTCCGGAGGTTGAGATTAAATGTACCGGTCGATCAAACTAGAATACACGTGAATACACGTCGTGTCACAACGGCTTACCGCGACCACTGTGAAAGAAGACTATCAGACGCGCGTTCTTCGTCTTACGCCTTTTTTATATTGACACTTGGTGAACGTCTGGTGAAACAAGCTTTTCGATCAGCGTCACGATGAGTATGCAGCTCCCTATATAAATACACGCGGCCGCCAGTGCAGCCACTGAACGACATTCAACATGTTTACGTTGCGCACATCAGAACTCGACTGAGAGTGACCAATCACTATCAATCGCAGTAAGTGGCGAACCTCGTTCGCAGTATGTTGCATGGACATCACGCTTGCGCCAACGTCATGCGAATGCGCATGACGGAGCTGTTGCCTGCCATCGCGTTTCTACTTTAGACCATATACTAGTAGTTCACTGATACTACTAGACTGCACATTTCCTACCTCTGTCTTCATCTTTCTTCTACTTATGCTGTTGCCGAGTCATGGAGAAAATATAGAATCCTCGTGATACGTGACAGAGAAGCCTACATAATAGAGTAAAACTATATATATTATATTTGTCATACGACAAACTTTTTAAGCATATTGATTGACTGCAGAGTAGAAATTTTTTGAGTCTTTAGAAATTTTCTATTCTGCAACTAATTAATGTTTAAAAGATTTGTCGACAAATGTAATACCAACCTAAACGTTGCCACATCCAGTGTTGCTATACTGTGTTCAAAATAACTTCAATATAATTCCCAGACAGCACAGGACATCCTATGGACATTCATTTTATGTCCATTTTACGTCCGCACTTCCATGGACATGAGATGAACGTCCATCATACATTCGATTTGAGACATCCGTTAACGATCGTCTTGGATGTCCTTCGGATATTTGTGTGCTGTCTGGGTTGTATGTTATGTACCATCGACAATTAGTACTGGACGGAGCATGCGACAAGATTTGGACGTCCACAAGATGTTCGGTCTTAGAGGTCAAAATTTCGCGTGAGCATGCAAAGATGTGTTAGTTCATTCGTTTACCGCTACACGACGTGCGATGCGCTATCTTTCTCGTATTTAAGTTTTAGTTTATGAGAATTATATAAAGTTTGCAAAAGGTAACAAGTAAGATTAAAAATATACTCTTCAATTTAATTTCTGATCTAAATGCACGAGTTTCAGATATTAAATTGATTTTATAAGTCGGACAAATAAATGTTCGGCGAATAAACAAAACTAATCTGTTTATTATCTATTTAAAATGTAAAGTGCAATATGCAAGTATAAATAATAAATAAAATTTTTATATATGAATTTTTTATGTAAAATTTTATATGAAATAGATAAATTATATTATTATTTAGGGATTAAAGCATGTCCACCAATTTCATAAACTATATCACGGACGTCCATTGAATGTCCAATGAACGTAAAACGGACCATCTGTGGATATCCTCAATATTCTTAATAGTCGTCTATGGATGTCCTTCGGATATTTGTGTGCTGTCTGGGTTGTATGTTATGCACCATCGACAATTAGTACTGAACGGAGCATGCGACAAGATTTCTTTGATTTTTCGTATTGAAAGATATAGAAAAAGAGAAGTAGATGTGAGGGAAACGGATCTCTCATTTTAGTTTCTCTTCATTGGTTAAACTTTATCGAAGGAAAAAGGAAACAGTATTCTTATAAGTATTCTTTACACCGTATTCTTATAAATATTCTTATAAGTTAAGAACATTTTTAACTTTTATTACTATATATATATTATATGCAAACAGCATAAAGTAATATTATATACAAATAATTAATATGTTTCTGATTGTCTATTGTGCAAAACGTGATAGGAGATTAGACATAGATGATATATAAAATTTTGAAATACCTCATGGTTCCGTAGCTCCATGAGCCGCTACTACCTTCATCGTCTTATCTCTTTTTATATCTGTCAACACGATTTCGATCTCATGTTCCGTTCAATATTATGTCGATATTATGATCCATAGTTCATTAGCATACGAATGAGATATAGTTTAGTATATAGGCTATTTCATTTTAACTTAAGCATCGTAATATTTTTTTTTCCTTCAAATCCTACAACTTTTATTTGAAAAACTTTTTTTTAAATAATGGGTTTTCAAAATGAAAATGTTAGAAATAAAAGTTATAGGATTTGGAGGGAAAAAAGATAAAGATATTACAATAGTTTAATCTTGTAAATGCTAGGATCATGTGAAGATCAGTCTAGTTTTTTAAATGGACAAAGTCAAGTTTTTTAAAATGAAGAATCGATTTATATAAACAAGTAAGGTAATTCCATTAAAAAAAGAACTATTGATCTTTATATGGCCTTAACATTTACATCCAAGATCAAACTAATATTCCTATCTTTTTCTCCCCTCCAAACGCTACTAATTTTTATTTGAACCTTTTTTTTTGAAAATGCATATTATTTTCGAGATGTTATGATATCTGAATTAAAATAAAGGACAACTTGTATATCACTCATTTACTATCTTTTTCACTTAATTCAGTACTCCCCACTATGAATGCGCTTTTCAGTAATATATAGCTTAAAATTTCCGCTATTTCTCCATTTTTACTAAACCTGTACCTGTATTCTTCGAACAGCGGATTTTTATCGCGCAAGCGCGTATTTACAAGTTTTGGAAATTGAAAGGAAAAGAATTGAAGAATTTTTAAAAAACAATTAATTTAAAATAATTGCGTCTCTCATGTTAATGTCAAATTATGCACATATTCGCGATTCATTTGTAATTCGTAACTAATCTGGATGAAAATTCGTCAAATTTGACAAATCAGATTTTTTATACTATTATTGCAAGTAAACACACACATACACACACACATGCGTACAAACACGCACGCACTCATACATAGAGAGAGGTAGAGAGAGAGAGAAAAAGAGAGAGACAGAGGGAGAATCTGACACTAACTTTAAATTCTTCTTTTAAACTAGAACAATTTCTTTCTCTCTCTCTCTCTCTCTCTCTCTCTCTCTCTCTCTCTCTCTCTCTCTCTCTCTCTCTCTCTCTCTCTCTCTCTCTCATACATTCACATACAAATTAATTATTTTATGTAAATTCTAAAAATGCATTCCGGTCTTGTCAAAGAAAGAAACAAAAAAAAGATGTGCGTACTGTTGAATCTAATAAAACTCTTAACAATTCATTTATGAAAAATATATTGTTTTTTTTACAATCTCTATTTACGAAGAATCGACCATGTTGGTACCAACATTATTTTGACTTTAAATGAAATTTAAATATATGTTTGTCTTCATTAATTTAGAAAGAAAAATAAAAATCATATAAAGATATAGATCATATTCAAATTTCGCTTAAATCCACAAAATACTATTGGTGCAACCTGGTCTATTGTAAGTGGCATACTCTTTTAATGTACAAAAAAAAACATCCCGCTGCCGAAACCCGGGATTGAACCGGGGACATTTAGATCTTCAGTCTAACGCTCTCCCAACTGAGCTATTTCGGCTTATGCTAGAGATAATCGTTAACGCTCTGAAAATATATATTTTGTAATTGCAATAATTTCACACACACACACACACACACACACATACACACACACACATATATATGTATATATAGAATGTCCTAAATTTAAATGTCAATACTTTGAACGTATAGCAGTAAAAACGAACAAATCTTTAAAGAACTTTTTTTTAGTTTATCGATCTGTCACACGTTCTCTTTTAACATTTAAATTCAGGACAGCCGAATATTGTGTGTATGTATATACACAAGACATTGATATTAATAAAAATTATACGCATTAGACAATTCTAAAATTTTATTTTATACAATATAGTACATAAATATATTAAAGTTAACTAATTTTTTTAAGAAATTTAATTTTTAATTTCTTTTCCAACAGCTTTTAAAACTGAAACTAATCAATTTAACATTAAATTTTTATTATTATAATGTATATATATATATATATAATAAAATATATATTATATATACATATATATATATATATATATATATATATATATATATATTTATTATTATATTTTGATATTATCATAGATTATCTTATTATTTTCGAGAAATATTATAAATACATAAAAAAAATTATTATATATAAATGATATCTTAATAAAATAACTTTAATTCTGGAAATTTATACATCGTTACATTGCATTTCGATATTTTTTCGAATCTTTCAAACATCAACTGATTACATATTGATCAATAATGGTATACATTGTAAAATGGATACACATTGTACAAATGTATAAAATTTATTTACATGGAACGTTACTTACAGAAAACTATATATATTTAATTTATAATTGCGATTTAAGAAGAAATCATTTAATTAGCGAAGTAAGAAGTAATTTACAAAAGCAGAGCGAAATATAGTTTGTTTATTGATATATAAAGGTATATGTATGATAACAATAATAACAATATATATATGGTATATATACAGGGTGTCCTAGACCACCGTACCCCGACCACCCCTTTTCTTTCAAAAACTAAGCATTTTAGAGAAAAACGTTTTTGACAAAAATTGTATGATTTTGAAGGGAACATAAGATGATGTCGTTGATTTGACCTTGAATGGCATCGTTAAGGTCAGGTCAAGAACACCTTTAATTTCTTAAATGGAACCATCTATTTTTTTATTGCATATTCTTATAGCTTATGTCGAGGACTTTCCAAAAGACTGTAATAAAGTATTTTTTCATTGAGTACTTTTCGAGTTATGAGGCTTGAAATAATTTTTCAATTTTACATAAAGCATAAAATATCTTATAAAATATTCACTTTTCGATTATCTTATCTTAATACTTTTATGTACAAAATAATGAGAGGAATCAATTGGTGTAAAGAAAACACATAGTGGTCTAGGACATCCTGTATATATATATATATATATATATATATATATATATATATATATACTTGTAACATTCTATTTTATTGCTTTTATATAACAATTAATATAACAGGATAATATGTAGATCAAAAGAAAATATTTCCTGATAATCCTGTATAAATCTCCTTCTCTCTCCCTCCTTGTACTAAGATTTCTCAATTATTCATTTGTCAATGTTTTGGATTGTTCAAAATGTGAAAAACATCTTGTATGATGTATTTAAATCTCGTATTATATAACATAATTGTCAAGTTGTATATAATGTGTTATTGCGCGTAACATACATATCATTTTAGGATATGTCCTCGTTTCCTTCTTTAGATATTGTACATTGCAATTTTTAAATGGTATTCGGAATAGTTTTTTTTGCAATATACGCTCGACAATAACAATTATTCTTTGATCGAATTGCAAGAGCAATTTTTCCGTAAAAAAATAAGATAAATGAAAATTATTTCTTCATTATTTTTGTTTTGTTACAAGCATCTACACAATTGTACTGCATGCTGATTTTAATTGACTTCTCTGTCCTAATGAATAAATAAAAATATCCCTCTTCTCCTTTCTACACACGTATGTACACATACAATATTTATATAATTATAAAAAGAATATATATATATATATATATATATATATATATATACATATATACAGGGTGTCGCAGACCACCCGTATCAGCCGAATATCTCAAAAACTGAGCGCGACGGACAAAAATATTTCAGATAAAAGTTGTAAAGTTTCAAGAAACGCATTACATCGCGATATCAGTATGACCTTGAAGATTATTGTCAAGGTCACATAAAGATCAATTTCTCATCAAATGAAATCTCCTATTTTTTATTACATATTCTTGAAGCCTATCTCGAGGACTTTCCAAAACACTATAATAAAATATTTTTTCCTCAAGTATTTTTTGAGTTATAAGGCTCGAAATAATTTCTTAATTTTACATAAATCGGTAATACGCATAAAATATACGGATGGTTGGCAACACTCATCTGTATATACAGAGTGTCGCAAAAGTCCCGGACCGGTCGAATATTTCATAAACTATGCACTTTAGAAAGAAATGTTTCAGAAAAAAGTTGTATGGCTTGAAGGGGGCCATCAGATAGTGGCAATAATTTCACATGGGAGAGTCATTTGAAAGTCACGTGAAGATTACCGTCAATTTCTTAAACAGAACTCCCTACTTTTTATTACATATTCGTGTAGCTTATCTCGAGAGCTTTCCAAAACACTATAATAAAATATTTCTTCATTGAGTACTTTTCGAGTTATGAGGCTTAAAGTTATTTCTTAATCCCAGATAGCCAAATGCAATGAGGTTGCTGTCATGTTGCCAATAATTATTGAAGCAACTAATTTTAACAAACTAGAGACAAGGTGAGACAGCATTATGTCTGTTACATGGAACTCACATGAATTCATATGCTAATAACAACAAATTAATTGCAACGTGTCAACATATTGCTGACATGTTGTAGACAACGTAATATACCAATATTGCAGACCATTTGCTTCGTTAATTATTTGCATATAGAAGCAGACATATAGCTGCATTCGTAATGTATTCTATCTCGATGTCAGCAAGTATACTGCAAATATATAATAATACATGCGATGCATTTGTTTGCTGAATATGTCATATCAAGCTTGGCTATCTGGGATTTTACATAAACCGTAAAATATTTGGTAAAATCCCAGACAGTACATAAATAAATACCTCGAATTCTTATATACTATATTACTTGCAATAATATATTTAATTATATTTATGATTTTTATTAAACAGTGCCTTTTTTCATTAAACAGTGCCTTTTTACATTGGAACATGGGAAGATTTTCGATAGTGGAGTTCGAAGATGGAATCCAACTTATTCCCACGTCTTGGATATTTAGCGATAATAAAAAATGTTATTGGCCATATTACAAAAAACAAGAAAAAATAAATCAAGCTATTTTTAATGAAGAATATCCGGACAATGACAAATGGTCATCATATGATATATTACGAATTTTTGGCAGCAGGTATTATATTTCTTTCAATTTACAGTTTAAATTTTTAGTAAATGTCCTTTTTATGTTTTTGTATAATGATGTTTATGTTATTTTATGTGTGATGTTTATGTTATTTTTACAATATTTTTATCTTTATATTTACCCTTCCCCCATGACACTGGTGGAAAAATGTCACCAAAATTGATGTTTCAAGAAAACGAATTCGTACTGGTCTTTATACATATCTGTATTGTAACGATGCGTTAAATGTATATTATATAGACTTTATAATTTTCTAATTCGCAAATTTTTATTTCTTTGGTCGATGTTTCACTTAAATTTTGACTTTGTGAGCTAATCCGAACGTCTGAAAAGACAGAGAAATTTTCCACCAGAGAAATTAATTTTTTCTATCCTATTTCTCACAAAACATCTTTCTCAGTTCGATATTAACAATATGTATTTTATTAAATACTATATTATTTCAGATACATATACAAACGACATGCGAAAACTGAAATTGACTGAACAAATTTCTGATATTGAGTCTGGGAAAGATGATATTGACAAAAAAATGTGTAGACATAATCGGGAAAAAAGAAGATTCACTTCTAGTTCTGAGGAGGAAGATTTTGAAAATGAAGCTACTGAAGAGGAAGATTCTGAAGAGAAATCACGTACAACTCAAGAAATCTGTAAAAAAAAACCCAGTAAAATTCCGCCTTTGCCCACATTATCAATTGTAAAACAGACACAGACGCTACCAGAAAAGAAAAAAAAGATATTTCACAATCAAACAAGCAATACTGATATTAATTCATCATTATATAATTTTAATAAATATAGTACGAAGGAATCTTCCAGTAGCGTGCAATCTGATATTTCATGTACGGGCAAACAATCTACATCATCATGTAAAACAGGTAAATATTTAGTCATAGTTAAGTATAGTTAAAACAAAATAAACATTTTTTACAAAATTTTAGGCGAACAAATTATTGATTAGAGTGAATCTGCAAAACAATTATTTTTTATTATTCATTATAATCATTAAGTTATTTCCATTTGTGTACTTTTTGAATGTTTGGATAAAACACAGAATAGAGAATTGTTTATTCATATCATTTTAAATACTTTTTCAAATAATATATTTCTCAAGAAATTTTAATATTTTAATATTATGTAAAATATGCATTACAATGCTCAAAATCGGTATTTTTTACATAAAATATATATATTATTGCGCCGATTGATCGTTCCTATGTGTTCATATAAAGGATTTAAAATTTATTATGCAGATTTTCAAACAGAAATACTTCGCAAACTGAACATTATTATTCATCAAGTAAAAATGGTGGACAAGAGACTGGAGATTCACGAAGAGCAATGTCGTTTCAGCCTTGACAGACGTGAAGATGATATTCTTCAAGATGAAGAAATAGGATTACCTTTGCATAATGAATTGGCATTGGATATTTTAGAAACAAAATTGAAGAACAAAGAATTTTTTGAAAGCATAGTATGTTATTTCTTACCTTTAAATATTTTAAAATATTGTTTTTAAATATTTAAATTTGTATTTTTAAATATTTAAATATTTAAATATTGTTATTATATTTGCTCGCGATGCAAAGAACATTTTGAATATTTAGAAAGTTATATATTTTAAATAGAATATCTTTATATATATATATATATATACAAATTTAATATTTTATAAAGTGTACATGTTATTTATAAAATCATAAAATAAGTGCATTTAGCAGAACGTTTTTACAACTGTTGGAAATTTTCTGAATTGAGATTGGATTATTTTTTTAGACCTAGATAAATCTAATCTCAACACAGAAAACTTTCAACAGTTGTAAAAAAATGTTCTGCTAAATCACTGTTAAATTAATATTTATCAATATGTATTTTTTAAATTATTTATTTTATATCATAGGTATATACATTAAAAGGCTTGGGAGGTTTCGATGTGCATTCTTGCACGATTAATTTATTGAAAAAGTTGATAACTAATCCCTTGGCTGAAATGTACAGCATGGCTGGAGCAAAAAAGAAAAAGGCTTTTCAAGATTTGATTTTGTATAAAATCATACTTAGTAAGTGTTATACTATTACAGATTTTTAAGACTTAACTTCTCCTTGATTATGTGTCAGCATGTTATATTGGTATTAATATGTTACTAATTTTATGGAACTACAATAGAAACTGTCCGCGTTCATTATAAAGATACGACTGAGACGGAGATTGCCCAAATTATCGCAAAATGGCTAGTACAAGCCAAAGCTCGTCGCGAGAGAAAGTATGTACATAATTTTTTTTATATATAAATAAAATGTGTACATAATGTATAATTATACAATTCATTAATGTAATGTGTGTTTAGAAAATGTCGATATATTGAAGAAAACAGCGACCTCGTCATCATCACATAACTCATAATAATCTTTTATAATTATCAACTCATATATGTATGTAACTTTTTATTATAATAATTAATTAATAATGGAGAGTAATATATATATATATATATATATATATATATATAAAATATTTTTTAAATAAAATATCTTTATACAAATTTAACATTTTATTATGAAGTTATTTATTATGAAATCGCATAATATATATGTATAGATGTGTTTAGTAGAACATTTTATTTACAACTATTAAAAGTTTTCTTAAATTGAGATTGGATTAATTTTTTAGACTTAAAAAAATCTAATCTCAACACAGAAAACTTTTAACAGTTGTAAAAAAATGTTTTACAACTGCTAAGCAACCATTAAGTCAATATTTATCAATATTAAATCAATATTAAACCAATATTAAATCAACATTAAATCAATATTAAATAAATGTTTTTTGAATGTTGAATTGCTACATTTACAAGACATTGCAATTCAGCGGACATTAGACGTTTCTGTAATTTATTTTCAACGTTGAATCTATATTTTATAACGTTGATGCAACATTGCAAAATTGTATTGCAATATTTCTGAGATGTTTATTCAATGTTCATGTGCTGTATGGGTAATATCCTATAGACATCCATTTTATGTCGGGATGTCTATGGATCATATAAAGATATCTTTAAAATACATTTTTGAACACTCTATGAATATTCGAAAATGGATAAGTTTATATGTCCATATGCTATTCTTATTTGTACTTGCTCTTTCTATGCCAACGCCATCTACATGTAATAGTTCCGATCTCTTTCTAGAACTCTTTCCGTTTCACAATGTGGCGTCAGTCAATCGATCTGAGCGCTGAGTACCTGATAAGAGCACGTCGAATCGTGTTTGTATAACTATGCATTATATCAAAAATTGAAACAGAGATAAGCACGTGAAATCCAGTTTCGTTGTCAAATCTCACAGGTAATATGTTTTAATCACAATAATAAATAAAGTAAAAAATAAAATATAATAAATAAAATAAATAAATAAAATATATCATACTAAATAAATAAAATATATAAATAATTTTCAAGAAACTTTTATCTTAAATCCGTTGCATAAATTTCCTGCTATATTTTCCTACGATATATATATACATATATATATATATATATATATATATATATATATATTAACATATTTTATGAAATTTAAGATGATCAAATTCTTAGAAAATTTTAAATTTTGTGTATTAGCAATGTATGAGCAAAATTATTATTGTTTCATATATAATTAATAATTTTTTTTATATAAAATAATGATTGTTTAATAAAATATATATCATTTTTAATATAATACTAATGTTTGATGCTGTTTTTTTCTGTACATGATTCCTTTATAAATGAGTATAAAAATAAATTTTAATTTATGTTGTAGAATCATCCAAGAGTCACATTTATTGCCTGTGGTTGATGAAATCTATAGACGCGATCCACAATTTCAAAACCATTTAAAAAGCATTCGTCTTATGGCCTTAAGGACTAATAATTAATAACATTTCTTTTGTACAATACGAAGAAATAATTTTAAATAAATTCGTATTAAGAATAACTGATCCAGACAATTGTTGTTACACAATTAATAATAAAATAATAAATAAAAAAATATTGTTTCTACCACTGATAGCATATTATTAATTGCCCAAGAATTTTTATTATTTGAAGATTTCTACAAAACCTTGTAAATCATCATTTTTAAATATATATGCTGCTAAAGATTTAAGGCCTCTTACATTATGGCGACTCGATCAAATATGTAACAAATGTATGAAATTATCTTTTAAAGGTATACATGTAATATTTCCGTTACTACATTCATAATCAGAGAAATAAAATACGATTTTTTTTAGTATATAATGTATATGTAATCAATTACTTTTTACTTAAAGATACTAAGTAAATAATAATTACAAGTAACAACTTGCTTTTCAATTCTTTCTTATAGATTCTCTGTTCAAATAATTTATTGTGTATATATTGTATATAATATTCTTATACAATTTGCGTATACAACGAGAGTATATTTATCACAAAGAAATGGAGAAAACATGGATAGTTGTAAGATTTGAAGATAAAAATGTTGTCGAAGCGGTGCCAACAAGTTGGATTACTAATGACAGATGTTATTGACCACCATATACAACAGAAAAAAACCTTAAAAGCAATAAAAGATCATGTTGATTTTAATTCTTCATGGGCGAGCTACGAAGTATATGTCTTTAAAAATAGTACCTCCGGTAAGAAACGATATATTATTATAATACAACTCTCTTATTATACTCTCTTATTATACAACATATCCCGTATAGCATATAATATTACTTAAAAATATAAACTTAATTTTATCTGTTTCATTTGCATTTTCTTTCCTCAAACTTTTATTTTTCTTCGCAACATTCTTTTATTTCTCAAAAAAAAAAAAAAATATATTTACAATATTGCAGCAGTATTTCTGAAATATGATATATTCTGATATATTCTGTAATATTATGTATTATATGGTAATATTATATACTATATGGAATATTATGCACTATATGTACTATATTATATAACATTGAATAATTTTATTAGTAAATTAAATACTTAAAAACTTATAATTTTTTCAGAAAGTTATCAAGTGTGTAGACTGAAAGCTAAAAAAGCTGAGGATACATCAGATTTAAATTCAGATTACAGTAAAGAATAAATAAAAAGAACCGTTTATATGAGAGCGATAGTTCTGAATCTACTAAATATAATGATATGACATTGCCATCTCCACCAAGTATGATTAGTTATTTCTTTTATATTTACTGCTTTGTACACACACACACATCGATTTGTTTAAAAAAAACATATATATATAAAAATATATCGATTTGTTAAAAAAACACACACACACACACACACACATATATATATATATATATATATATATATATATATATATATATAGGTATATATGTTTTTTTTAAACAAATCGATTTTTTTCATAATGCTTTTGTATCATTAGATTATTTGACATGTGAGAAATAAAGATGAATATATGTTGATTTTTTAAGAATTAAAATATAATAATGTATTTTATTTTCTAGATTTAAAAGAACATTCTGATACAGAAATCCAAATATCAAGTAAGTTTTTTTTTTGTAATGTATGGCTTATGAACGCAAATTATTTTATTAATATTATATAATCATATGTAATTATTAATTGATATTAAATCAAATATAAATGAGAAGAAAGAACATATTTTCACAATATTTTTCAAAACATTAGGCTGAAAAAGACGAAAGATCGATGTTCGATTTCTGACTTAGTTCTGACCCACGCTTGTTTTTTTTCTCGCTTATTTTTCTATTATCTTTATTCCGTATTTTTTTCTTATTTCTATTTTAGTTTGGAGCTCTTAGAAATATTAGATCTTAATTAAGGATTATTTTTATAATTTAGATATTTAATTTACAAAAATTTTATTTCTATATATTCAACAACTTACATTGATTTCCATGTCCTTTCTTTTTACTTATATTTGATTTATTATTAAAAAAACCTATAATATATTTAATTAATTTGGAAATGTATTATTATTATGTATAATTATTTTAATATCTGTTTATTTTTCAGAGACGAATTTTTCTAGAACTAAAAAAGTATACACATGTGTTGGAGAGAATCCACAAAGAAAGAATACACAAAAAAGGTATTTTCGATACAAACCTTTCATTTAAAAATAGTTTGCAAATGTTTATAATACTGATAAAAAATAATTATGGACTGTCGTTTTATTTAATTGTGATCTGTATTTTTTAGATATAACATGTGACTCTTTCAATAATATATAATAATAACATTTCGGATATATGTATAAAAAGAAAATTTTATAACAAAGAAAATCATAAACCAATAGGTAAGTTATTTTGTTTATCCTTTCAATATATAACTTAAATAAATGTACAATTATTGTATTAATTATTTATTGACTTTTTAGAAATGTATACAACTAATAAAGAAAAAAATATTGGAGAGAAATATTATGAAGAATCTTCAAATAATAATAATGTATTTGAATCATCGAATACAAATGTACATATGTATACTTCCAATATACAGCAAAAATATTCCCAAAAAGGTACTTTTGTATCATTATTATTTAGTAAAAATGTTGAGAATATTTTAATAATATATATATGTAGAATGAGCCGATTTCTTATTTCTAATATTTATAATTTCAAATATTTAATATTTTCTCTAATATTTTAATAATTTTTAATATTTCTAATTCTTATTTTCTTAAATAGCTTCATTTTTTAATTATTTTCCTTTGAAGATTATCGTAGTGCTTTATAATTAATTTGAAATGTAAAAACGTACAAAACTATTTTCATTGATACTTTAGAACATTACATTACATCAGATTTATTACATTACATCAGATTTATTACATTACATCAAAAAATGAACTGACTATTACACGCGATTGTATTACTAACATATATATTATTTAATTTGCAACAAATTATTTTATGCACAGATGTAAATATGCATAGATATGCAAGTGCAGATTAGCAAATTGATAATGCTATTTGTAGCACAAGTGCTGATAAACAGACTGATAATGCAAATTTTTGTACAGGATGCTTCCGCAACATACAGATCGGTAAGTCGGGTTGCCTATCTGACGATCGGTCTTGTTTTACCGACCTTAAATAATTGAAAAATAATAAAATCAGAGGATCGATCATGTAATTTTTTGTCATGAAAAGTGAAAAAATTCCTTGAATGCAAATCCGTAGGGAATGAGGAAAGTGAAATCAGCTTTTAATATTGATATAGTGTAATTGTAATATTTAATAACATAAATAACATTATATAAAGAAGATCTTAAAAATAAAATTCGAAACGCGTGTGCGGAAATCACTCCTCCGATAATTCGGAGAGTAAGGAAAAATTTTATGCGGAGGATTGCTTTATGTTTAGAAGAGAATGGCGGTTACATTGAGCATATATTGTGAACATTATAAAATAGTTTTTTGTTTAAATTCATTATATTTTATCTGTGTTATTATATTTCAATTGTGTCATTTTATGTTATTAATGTTATTTAAGTTATTTATGTTATTAAATATAATGTTATTTATGTTATTAAATATTACAATTACACTATATTAATGTTAAAAGCTGATTTCACTTTCCTCATTCCCTACGGATTTGCATTCAAGGTATCAATCAAGGAATTTTTTCACTTTTCACGAAAAAAAATTACATGATCGATCCTCTGATTTTATTATTTTTCAATTATGCGAGGTCGGTAAAAGAAGACCGATCGTCAGATAGGCAACCTGACTTACCGATCTGTATGTTGCGGAAGCACCCTGTACATGCTGCCCTACACATAAAAATTATGGTATGTATTATAATGCATTAAACATCTTAAATGCTTTTAATACATAGTATGTTCGCAAAAGAGAAATTGCTGAGATGTTTTTCATAAAGAGATTTGATAACCTAATCAACTTACAAAAAGACACAGAAAACTTAAACAACATTTATGACAAAATAATAAAGGTCATGTAGTTCCGTTTACTTATGATCGCGTTTAGTCTTTGACGAGGTCCCACACGGACTCATTGTTCTTAAAAATTGAATTTTTAAAAATAAAGTTTGTTAATGTGACTTGTGCTTCGTACAAGATTATTATCTATGCCGACACTCTGATTACCAATACGTCGGCTAATTTGTATGTATATTTAAAATATCTCACGTTTAAACTAAATTAATTGTGCGTATTACGGTTCAAACCGAAAATTAGATGTAAATAATAATTTTTTGCAACTTATATATCTATTCCAGTGTATACTTGATAAGGACTACAACCATATGGTCGAAACGTCGTATTGAATAAATTATATTTCTGGCTAGTTTGGTCGACTACACAATTTCATTTAACCTTTTGTTAATTCGACTAGCGATATTAAGCTATTTACTAATTTCTAAATATATTATTTTAAAATATTTATATGTAAATTAAAATTCCTGATTCCCCTCTCATATCCATAGGACATCCGTTGGATATCATTTAGGGATTAAAGCATGTCCACCAATTTCATAAACAAATATACTACGGACGTCCATTAAATGTCCGAAAAACAGAAAACGGATAATCTGTGGATATCTTCAATGTCCTTAATGACTATCTTATGGATGTCCTTCGGATATTTGTGTGCTGTCTGGGAATATTCATTTTTCGATTATCTTACCTTAATAATTTTATGTACAAAATAATGAGAGGAATCAATTGGTGTAAAGAAAAAACATAAAGTTGTTTTTAAGAAAAAACTATGTAATTTGCAATTAACAATTACATATTTTTTTAAAAACAACTATGTGTTTTCTTTACACCAATTGATTCCTCTCATTATTTTGTACATAAAAGTATTAAGGTAAGATAATCGAAAAATGAATATTTTACTAGATATTTTATGGTTTATGCAAAATTAAGAAATGATTTCAAGTCTCATAACTCGAAAAGTACTCAATGAAGAAATATTTTATTATAGTGTTTTGGAAAGCTCTCGAGATAAGCTACACGAATATGTAATAAAAAATAGGGTGTTCCATTTAAGAAATTGAAGGTGACCTTTACGTCACCTTCAAATGACTCTCCCATGTCAAATCATTGCCGCTATCTGATGGCCCCCTTCAAGCCATACAACTTTTATCTGAAACATTTTTTTGATTTTTCATTATTTTCCGAAATATTTGAGTGGATCACTTAAAATGGCCCACCCTGTATATATATATATATATATAAACTCGTCAATTTGGAACCCTGTACACGCATAAAATATATATATATATGAAATAAAAGAGAGATAAGCTCCCTTATTTCTGAATAAATAACGATCGGCACCTTGAGGAAAAGAAAGAATAGGATAGACAGAGGTGCAGACAGAAGAAAAAGGACAAGGAAGACGAGGACAGCGACAACACGAGGCCGCGCACGTGCGACACTCTTCCTGTCTCGGGTATTCTGAACTTGATTGTCGGTACGTGGCGATCGGTACCAGTGATTCGGTACACCGCGACCGTCATCGGTCATCGTCAGTCGAACAGTCGAGCTCCATTGTGCTTATTGCGACGGTTTATAGTTGAGTTCACGCGGAACAATTAAAATCATAGCATCTTCGAACTTATTACGAAGTATTGCCGTCCGTCCGTTTGTTCGTTCGTCGCAAACGTCATAAGTCAAATAACGTCGTGAACGAACGTATTGACGACAGCGTTGAGAAAGGAAGAAAGAAGAAAGAAAAAGCAATAATACGATGGCCAATTTACGACAAACACCGTTGACATGTAGCGGACACACGAGGCCCGTGGTTCATCTCGCCTTTTCTGATGTCACCGAATCCGGATATTATCTCATTTCGGCGTGCAAAGGTAATGAGTAGAATTGAATCGTCATTCGGATAAGGCTATCTGTCGTACGCTACTCTGATTTTTTTTCTCTTCGATCGTTTGGCCGTATGTTCGATTCTCGGTCGCCTTGGCCTAATTCTTTCTGACCGCCCAAGGCTCCGCAACTTCGAGGTTAGATATCGTGTGCTCTTAACGTACTCCCTTCCTACATCACACAATATTAATTCCAAGGGAATTTGATATACATTTCAAGACCAGATAACACGGACGAGATTATTTGCTGTATACTGTAATACTGTAAATGTAATCAGTCGTACTATCAGCGATAATAACTCAGTTGAAATTAAAAAAAGATTCCTTATATATAATTTCCATAGGGCCTTATATATATATGTATGTGATACACAAATCATATTAAAAAAGAAAAAAAAAAGAAAAATACGAATGGTAGAGAATTAAGAATGGTAGATAAGAGAAAAGATAAAGGAAATACTATATCATTTTTCATATAATTCTATATTTGATATTTACAAAATTTGTTTTTATGAGATATTAAATTACTAATATATGTGTAATAGATAATAATATAATATAATTATGTGTATATATTACAAATTATATTTCAGAATCTTATTTGAAAATAGATTAACAAAAATATATTCTCCTATAATTTATGTATATTTTATTAATATATACTCTTAATATTAATATATATTATTATTAATATATACTCTTTATATATATTGTATTAAGTGAAATTTAGCCATTATGTATAAAATTACTTTTATATATATATATATATATATATATATATATATATAATAGAATATATATATTTTTGAATAATTCTTCTATTTCTTCTAGATGGCAAGCCTATGTTACGACAAGGCGACACTGGAGATTGGATCGGTACATTTGAAGGACACAAAGGGGCAGTATGGGGTGTAGCGTTAAATCCACAAGCTACTCGAGCTGCAACTGGTGCAGCTGATTTTAATGCTAAAGTCTGGGATGCAATTAAAGGAGAAGAAATCCATTCTTTTCAGCATAAGCATATTGTTAAATCAGTCAATTTTAGTACTGATTCCAATTATCTATGTACTGGCTCTTATGAAAAGCTCATACGTATTTATGATCTTAATAAACCAGAAGCACTTCCACAAGTAAATAATGTTATATAAACTAATACAACAATGTTAAAATTACTAAAACATTTAAAATAATATTTTTTTTTTCTTTCATAGATATTTTCCGGTCACGCAAGTGGTATTAGGCATGTCACTTTCTTTGATAATAATTCTGCCTTAATTACTTGTGCAGATGATAAAACATTGAGAGTATGGGATAGAAATAGTGGACAAGAAATTAAAAGATTAGATTTCCCTGCAATTCCAAGTTCCATGGAAGTATCTAAGGACGGTAGTATCATTACTACAACTCACTCTAATATTGTTACCTTCTGGAATAGTAAAGAGTATGTATTTTTTTCTTTATTGTACAAGCAACAATATTAAATTATTCATTATTATTATCATCCATTGACATTGTCACAATAATAAAAATTAATGATACATTTTCATATATGAAAATATAATTTTTTTAATTTTTAAATTCCTTTGTTAGATTAACCAAGATAAAAGAATTTACGGTTCCGACTCAAGTTAATAGTGCCAGCTTGCATCCGGATTGTAGTATGTTTGTTTGTTGTGGAGAAGACTTTAAGATGTACAAGTTTGATTATAATACAGGAGCAGAGTTAGGTGAGATTGGTCACATTTGTAAATGTTACAATTCTTATTAACAGAATGATAAGCATAATTGTATATAATATAATTTCTGTTCATAGAATCATTCAAAGGACATTTTGGGCCTGTGCATTGTGTACGCTTTTCACCAGATGGTGAATTGTACGCCAGCGGATCCGAGGACGGTACCTTGAGATTATGGCAGACGATAATCGGTAAAACCTACGGACTATGGCGTTGCATAGAGCAGACGCCTGCGATTCAAGAAAATGCCATGGTTAATAATAAACAAGAAGTTCCTGCCAATTAAATTGAAACCTTAGAAAAGCAAGAAAATCTTCAGACATTTTTCCAAAAGTCCAAAAAGAGGCATGTTGGACCAAACTCGACCGAGTATATACTTCGAGGATAAACCTCCTGTAAATGCAACATATTGAATATTTTTTTTATGGGCCATTGTTAGTCCCATGAATTCCCTGTAAATAACGCATCCTTTTAGAAGATAATCGTCGACCTTCACGGAACTTACATTTTATTTCAGATTAGTAAGTCTAAAAAATCAAACTTTAAGGTCCGTGAAGGCAAACGCACGCGCAATATTTATATCACGTTATTTATATAAGAAAAACGACAAAAAAAGAAATATTAACATTTATTAAGACTATACATTTCACATTATTATAATACAAAATTAGATAGAGATGTAACGAAAGAAAGAAAGACAAATTCAAAACGAACGTTTTCTATTTTTTATCGTCATACCGATTCCATTCATTATCAAAATGTCTAAAATGGCGCCGACACGTATATGCAGTATATAACATTGCGTGTCCAGTGTTCAATGTATACGTAACTTTTCTAATTTTTGCGATAACATAGTATATTTATCGCAATGTATTACATGATAATTTATTTCGTATCATCGTTCTTATTCATTGCTTGTTTATGCGCTTACTTAATATCCTATTCTTCATTTAAAAAGTTTCATATTCCGTGCATTTGCATGTTTTTCCGTTCTCTTTTATTTTTCGACCATGCGATCTCGTTTTCTCCGATAAATTAAATACTTACGCCTTATAATCTATATTTACACACCGACAGGTACTTTCTTTTACCTTTCAATAAATGTCGCATTATGTTCAAGGCATGCTCACCCGCTCTTTCTCTCTATCTTTCTCACTCTCCTCTTCTTTTGTATTTTATCTTTTCTTTTTTTTTTATAGTTTTTTTCTTTGTAGTATTAATGAGCTTGAGCACGACCAATCTAATATCCGTGATATTTTTATGATCGCATTGCCGTACAGTCTCTCAAAGGAAAGAGGCAGTGTATTTTCTGCTTACAATACAATAATCAGTAAACGAGTTACGAATTTCAAGTCTTCCCATCTCTTTTGACTCAACCAATAAACTGCGAAAGATCCGGCAGTTTAAAACCGTTGAACGAAGCCGGCGTTGGCGAATTTCTCAAGTTATTCGTATGCGGCGGGAAACCGGGAAAACCAGAACTACTGGGTGTGGTGAATTGTTGTAGTCTCGCCGTAGTCTCCGTAGCTGCTAAAACGAAACCGCATTGGGCAGTACATACATCATCGCGCAAAATCGCTTCTCGGGAAGCTTCTCGTAAAAGTTGATTGCAATCCGTGACCCTCAGCGAGGCACATTGCGTCTGAAAGAAAAAAAATTTGTCTTCAACATTTGCATTATTTTATTAGCAATTTTTGTTGGCATTATTTTGATAGGATGGTCAAATGATAGCAAAGTGTTCTTTTGAAAATAGACAAAATTGAGATAAACCTTCAGATATCCTCCTTAAAAAATTAATTTAGCCAGAGAAAGAAAGAGTGATCACATGTATACTTGTTAACATGAATCTTAGTGTCAGCATGCGCAATTTGATTCTTATTGATTTTCTTCGATTATCAATCATCCAATATTTTGCTTTCGCGAAAAAGGAGCTTTTAAATTGTCAAAAATTTTATCATCATATTGTGAATATAAACTACTTATTACCATTTTCCTACTTATCGATTATTGAAATTTAAAATAAACGAAATTATACGTATATCTCTTTTCATTTATTGAATAATATACTTACTCCTTCGGCAGTGCAAATGCAACTGGTGCAAGGTGTGGGGAAGCCAGATTCGCCAATAGCGACATTTCTTCCACCAATTTGACAGCCATGTCTAGTCTCTCGCCAAGCAGAGAAATCCATATGAGGCATAGAGCTACAGGGTACACGCGGGTTCAAAAAATTACTGGGTAGATCAAATGCCGCCCTCTGCATATCCATTTGATTGTCCATGTTCTCGCACATCACCTTGGCCAAGGTAGTTTTGCGAATTTCTGCCAATTGATGTTCAGTAAAGCGGATGTTTGGATCATCAGTTTCATACCAAAAACGATCGCATTTCCTTGATTGTCTGAACTGAATGGCAATGATGCATGCGAAAGTGGGCCCAACTAGACCGCCTTGAAGTGGTCGTTCACTCATACCACCTGGGAATAGATCAATGTCGTCCACGGAGGCGTATATACGTTTCATGCGGGCAATTACTTCCGGTGCCATTTCCCTGGATAAATCCTCAAACGTAGTTGCTTTCTTCAAATTACAGAGCGCTCTATAGTGATTATATGATGGTATCCCGTGATCGCGAGCACGGTGAACGTTCAGGGCTATCAAATCCACACCGGAATGTGGTATACCATGTTGCTCAAACAGATGGTTAGTCACTTCACCAGTGATAAATTGATCTAGTGTTTCCATTGGTGTACCCATCAAGCCGCATACCATTTCATCTATCATATTCTCTTGGTAAAGCATATCTGGATTAAAAAATCCATCGCGCAGTAAAATGGGCGGATCGACATTCTGATAGTTGCGGTCCATACGCGGTAAGTGCGGCCGTAGCAACGAATGACCGATCCGGAAAGCCGCGCTGGCAAATTCATTAAGTACACTAGGATTGCAGGTAGGTGAATATTCTTTATAGTAACCTTGAGGCAACAATTTGAGACCATATAGACTAACGGCATTCCAGCCGAGAATCCTTGGCAGAAATTCATTGTACGTGATATGCTGCAGCATAGCACTAATGATGCGTCGCGTCTCTTGGAACAGCTTTTCACCGTCCCAGTGGACATTTACCTGTTTCATAAATATTATAATATTACAATATCAAATCAAAAAGATAAACATACCTATCAAATAAAATGTAAATAGAGTATTGGCAACATGTTTAAGAGTTTGATCGATATTATAGAATATGTAGAGATATAAAAAAAATTGAATAAAATTACTGTTTCGTTATCATTTATATTGCATATATTGACTTTCCATACTGCGCAGAAGCTTGCATCAACATTGCACATAGCAGTGTAATGTTGAAGAAATAATGCAGAGACATTATTTTGTAATATTACTTTGGCAATGTTGCAACAACGTTTCAACATAGCGAAAATGTATAACATGTGTTTCTTTACTTGCCGCTACGCGGCGACACCCAATTTAACTAACTTGTATTCGAATTCATCTAAGATGGTTATAAGATCTAGAAAGAATTAATGTAATAATTATATTTCTTATCTTGTGTCAGTTTAATTTCTGATAAACTGACTTGGTTTTACTTAATATTCTGAATCCTAATAAGGGATCCTAACAAATTATTTGTTTAATAATCTGGACCTTTTATTGGGTTTCAGAATATTAAACAGATTTTTCTTAATTGAATAAGTAAAGAGGAAATAATTCATTTATTGCACGTATTAAAATATTCTGGTGTCGAATGTATGTAAAATAATTGTATGTATATTATTGAAATAAATATTTAATAAGATACATTTGATAAAAAACACTAATAGATGTTTTTTTTCAAAAGCGGTAAATGTTTTTTTCCTATCTTTCTTAAACATTTCATATTTTCAAGATTTATTTATTAAATTTAAAACGATCTGCATTTGTAGCAAAACGCGTTTTAATATTGCAAATACGTTGCACCGTAACATTATTACAATCTTACATTGTAATATTTTTGAGGGCGGACATTTCAACGTTGCTGTAAGCTTGCAGTAATGTTGCAGAAACATTTCGCAACTTCCATGCAATGTTACAATGTTTCCGTGATAGGTGTATGTAATGTTTCTGCAATCTTTCGGTGCTGTATGGATTATGTATTTATTGATATTTTGATTCTTCTCTTTATATACATTTTTTTCGTCTATATTTATTAAATATTAAATCTAGAGTATCATTATTTCATATTGTGCTCTCTCTCTCTCTCTCTCTCTCTCTCTCTCTCTCTCTCTCTATATATATATATATATATATATATATATATATATATATATATACCCACAGGGCACAAAGACGTCTAAAAGACGACAAAACTGGACATATTTTCGTCAAAGACGTCTTTTAGTTAGAGACAATAGTCGACGAAAAGTCGACTAAAAGTCGTCTCATGACCCGAATTTAGTCACTAATCTGTCAAGCCAAAAAATGACTAAAAGATGACTAAAAGACGACTAAATCATATCATAATTTATAAACGAAACATATATATTTCAATCCCTAAATAATAATATAATTTATCTATTTCATATAAAATTTTACATAAAAATTTTGTATAAAAATTTTATCCATAATTTATACTTGCATATTGCACTTTACATCTTAAATAGATAATGAAAAATTATTTTCGTTTATTCGCCGGACGTTTACTTGTCCGACTTATAAAATCAATTTAATATCTGAAACCCGTGCTTTAGATCAGAAATTAAATTGAACAATTAAACATTTTTAATCTTATTTGTTATCTTTTGCAAATTTTATATAATTCTCATAACTGAAACTTAAACACGAGAAAGATAGCGCATAGCACGTCGCGTAGCGGTAAACGAACGAACTAATACATGCTTGCGTGCTTTGACCTCCAAGACCGGACATCCAAATTGTGGACGTCCAAATATTGACCGTTAACGGATATCTTAAATCGGATGTACGATGGACGTTTATTTTATGTCCATGGACGTGCGGACATAAAATGGACATAAAATGAATGTCCATAGAATGTCCTGTGTTGTCTGGGTTTGGACGTACAAATTCTAGACTTTAAAAGATCGACGAAAGGACGTTTTATTTTAGTCGTCTTTTCGACATGACGAAAAGACATCTATAAGACATCTTTTTCGCCATGTCCAAAAGTCGACTTAGAAAAGACATCTTTTCGTCGTCTTTTAGTATTTTGTGCCCTGTGGGTGTATATATATATATATATATATAAATATATATATATATATATATATATATATATATATAAAGAAATGCAAATAATATATGAAGAAAAAGGAAATTTACCTGCCGCATGCCTTCCATTACGCGATTGTGTTCACGCACCCACATAGTGTGCATAACAGCCAATGCCGGTTGTTCCGAAGCGCGGCCATCACCGCCGATGAAGCAAAATCCCGATCGGGCTTTGCATTCCGGATGCGTCATGGATTGTGGTAGTAAGTCCTTACCGCGTCTCGAATTCGTCGTGATGTTCATGCGGCCGTTGAAACCGCGTAGGATATTACAAATACACGAGTTCTCGCCATAAACCACCGATGCATCTAAAAAACCAGTATTTTGGTTCACCTGCTCGCGTGGTCCCAAATGTTGCTGGCCTGGCAGCGATCTCATCGACGGGAAACACATGCGTGCGCCTGATGAAACATTTACAGTTGGATAGAAGTGATCACCCGGCGGCACTGGGATCGGGCTGCATTCGGGATGAACAGTACGTGGAGAATCACATGATCGACAGCTGGGAATCGATTCTTGAAAGCCTTTGTGTATGGGTGTCATTGTTAAATCGTGATCCAAAAACTGCGCAAATTGCATCACCATCAACGTGTAGCGATTGTGCAAATTCGAGATGTCAGGATGAATTACGGTGGAGATTACTCGGGGATTCGGTAGCGGTGCACCAGTAACAGAAGTACTTCTTGGTTTAGAAACACCATCCTCGTAAGCGGGTGGCAACAGACGAGCGAAGGTTGTCAATGATTTACCGAGACTAGGATTACGCAGGTTGTTGCAATGACCTGATAAAGTCCGATAAGGTGTAGTAGGGTCGCATGGAGAGTCATCAATGGGACACTGCACCTCCTCATGATTAGTCGGTTTGTGATGATTATTTAGAAAGCCGGAGATGTCAACGTTTTGCAACAAATCGGAAAATTCATTCGCGTTAGGAAATCCTAAAACGTTCTCCGTATTATCAAAGACTTGGCGCTTCTTGCGTTGAAGACCATGCACACCGTTCAGAATTTCATTTGTAGCCAATTCGTACATGATGGATGAATTGGCGAGTAGAAGAGCGTCTTTATTAGCTTTGGAAAAACTGGCCGCAGTTCCAGCAGCTGATTTCGGATCGACAACTCTCTGTTCCAGCCAAGCATTATATTCAAGTTGTTTACGCTCAATCAGTTTTTCCTCCGCTCTTTTCATCGCAGCAGCGAGTATTTCTGGACTAATCTCCGGCACGGATTGTGTCGGCTCATATGTGGTCGTACTTACATGAATTGAGTTGTGCTGCATTATAGGAAGTGACAATGGTTCTTCAATCCACGGTGCGATACTCAATGATTCATACTGTTCGCAATTGATCTTGCTGTTCAGATATGGATCCTGTCGGATAAATACTCTCGGCTGTATCTTGCGAATGTCCGTGTTTGCGCATAGAATGCCAGCAAGAGACACCTTCCTAATTTCGGTCAGTTGAGCAATTGTTAATCCTGATGGGGGAATGTCATTCTCATACCAAAAGCGATCGGAATTTCTTATGGTTACAAATTGTTTTTTAAGAAGACATTCAAACGTTGGGCCGACCGCAGCACCGGTGACTGGAGTTTCCAAGATTCCACCAACAATAAGATCCACGTCTTCTAAATTCATATAAATTCGACTCAGCAGCTGCACATGCTCCGATTGCATTACTTGCGCCAAATTCGTGAAATTTTCAATCTGTATTTGAAGTAAATTTTAAAACAGTTACTTCGATTTTTATAAAAATATAAATATTTGTTTAAAATTAATTTTTTTAAATTATATTTTCTGTCTTATTTATAGATTTATTGATGAAACATAATTAAATACGGATATACTAAATTTTATTAGATTTAAAGAGGACACATTTAGAGAAGATTTAGAGAAGATTAGTTAATTTTTCATCTGCGATTAATTAAAGATTTAAGCAAAAATTAAATATAAAATTAAATAGGAAAAAAAAAGATAATATAATTTATATAATAGCAAAATTTATTTTTGTCATCAAGCTTACTTTAATATTTTCTCCTAAACAGTCAGTCAAAAATTTGACATATCCAGATATTCCATGATCTCTCGCCGCGTGCACAGACCAAATGGCCGCATCTACCGCAGCTGCGAAACCAATACGATTGGCCGACGCGGTTACATGATCTTCAATGCTACCTTTTTTATCAGCACGCATCCAAGCAAGAGCACGCAGAGCTGTTAGAGCCACCGCGTGATATGTGCCTGCTTTGTTGGACGATGAGTAACCGGCATAAAAGCCATTCGCAAGCGGTCTAAGCTCAGGATCAACTAGTGCAGCTTCCCTTAATATCACCGGTATGTATTCGTTGAAGGTGACATGCTGCAGCTGCGCGACGACAATACGACGCGCCTCCAGAAATATTTTCGAGTCGTCCCAATGCACGTTCACCTTTGCTAGTTTTTCCGCTACGCGATTATGCTCGCGCAAGAAAACCTGATGCAGCAGATTGAGCGTATCTTGATCAGTTTGATTACATAATTCACAGGCACTCAGATCGACCTTGCCATCCTCGTACGTTCTCAACAAATGTAATTTATCATCGTTGACGCCATAGATACCAGAACCGTCCAAATACGCCGAAACGCCATTCATCTGTTCTCTAGTCTCAAATTGACAGCTGTATACCGTCAAACTCGGCACCGAGCGCCAATAGCGTTTGCAATCAAATTTCTCGTCGCGTATTTCGTAGCACTCCGGATGGCGCCGCTCGTTCATGCAACATGCATTTTCAAGACCCACGGAGTGCACTGTAGCAGCAATATCTTGTAATACCAACTCCGACCAAATCGCAGAGAGACTAGTCAAACCTTCGTGACTTTCTACTTTTGGAATGGAGGTCAAAACACTGGAGATGATATCGCTCGATGTAGGTAGACTATGGCTGCCGATAGATTGACGTGGTCTTGAGATGCCTAATACGAAAATGCAAACGAATTAAATTTATTATCATTTTCTGTGTTATTGTACAAATGCTTGGTGTTAAGTACATATGTGTCATACATATGTACATTGTTTTCTTGTTTGGAGAATTCATCATCAAAGTTTGTACAAGTATTTCTGAATTATCTTATATATATAAGATAATAAACTTTGACGATGAATTCTCCAAACAAGAAAACAATGTACACATATGTCCAGAAATGCATAATTTATGAATTATAATCGAAAGATTATATTCAACGCTTGAGCTTTGCAACTGTCCAGAGGTCTTTGAAAAGACCCGACAGTCCATGTGTGTGTGACTCAATGTATATATATATATATATATATATATATATATATATACATATATATATATATATATATATATATACATTGAGTCACACATACATAGACTGTCGCATCTTTTCAAAGACCTCAGGACAGTTGCAAAGCTATGTGTGTATATATATATATATACACATTATATATACAGAGTATGCACCAAAAATTTGAAAACGGTTGAATATTTTATAAACTATGCATTTAAAAAAAAATGTTTTAAATAAAAGTTGTAGGTTTTCAAAAATCTCTTACTAACGCCATGAGTTTGACCTTGGGTGACGTCATCAAACTCAGGACAAGGTCACATTGAATTTTTTAAACAAAACTCTATTTTTTATTGCATTCTCCCTATTCTTTATTGCATTTCTTATCTAGGAAACTTTTCAAAAAATTTGTATATCAAAAAACATTATAATTAATTATTTTTTCATTAAGTACTTTTCGAGTTTTTTAAGTACTTTTAAGTACTTTTCGTTATGAGGCTTGAAATAATTTCTTAATTTTGCATAAACTATAAAATATATATATATATATATATATATATATATATATATTTATATATATATATCATAAAATATTTACTGTTCAATCTCTTACCTCGATACTTTTAGGTAAAAAATAATGAAAGGATTCCATTGGTGTAAAAAAAATACATAATTATTTTTAAGAAAAAATAAATAACTATTAATTATTAATTACATATTTTTTTTCTTAAAAATAACTATGTATACATATTTGTATATCAAGCGTAACTGTGTCGCGACGACAAATACATAAAAAACTGATAAAAAATTGGACCCGAGCATTGAGAGTTACTGTTTTTGACGCAGCTCTACCAAGTAGCTTATTCGGAATTTTACGTCAAATTGACAAATAAACTTTCGATTAAAATATTTCAGAAACTAAAACCATAATTAAAAATGTAACGGCATTTTTCTATAATGTAAATACAAGCTTTCGATTGTGACCAGTTTGAATAAAATCGGTGCAGTCAATCCCGAGAAATGATAATCGCATGTCAGAATTGTGACATTTTTTTATTTTCCTTCAAAGCGATTTGGTCGCTCAAGCTGCGTTCATACCGCATATATGATTATTCGCTTTAGTGTGCAAAAATGCTTTAAAAGACAAAATCATTTATGTGTGTATACGTGTGAGAGATTAATTTATCGCATAACAATTTTCAAAAACCTCTTGAAGATCAAATCTAATCTATCTCGAAAGCGGTATCACAAAAATATAAAAACTGTGCCGTTAGATAAGACTTCTAAGGAGACTAATTTATCGTATTATAATATTCAATATACAATATACAATATTCAAAAACCACCACTTGGGAGTGAACTCTAATATTCAGAAAATGAAGTCTTGTAAAAATACGCGACTTACCCTTAGTAAAGATTTTAAAAATGCATTTATATTTTATACAGAAATAATATAAATTTTTACAAGAAGGTGGTAATATCTCTCTAGAAACAACCTTATAAAGGTAAAAAGAAATTCGTTAAGTACATAAAAACATATTTTTAAAAAATCTAACATATATTTTTTGCAGAAATAATATAAATTTTTACAAAAAGCAGTGAGATTTCCTAAAAAAACCTTATAAAGGTAAAAAAATACGCCAAGTACATAAAAGAAATAAAAAAATCTAAAAGAGTGATAAAAATAAAATATTTAAAAACCGATATGTGATCGATACTATTAGCCAAGTACAATAAATTATGTGATATTAATTCGTAATCAATACTAAATGAGTTAAGATTATTTTAATTCCTAAAGCATTTTTATATGATATATATAATTTAAAAAAGTTTTACACAAATTCTAAATCGCATAAATGATCTTCAGGTCGAAGTAAGATTGAAAACTTGGCGTGTCCCCCTCCCCTCCGCCCCGTCGTTTACATATCTTGAATAAAATAAAAAATTTGATTATACAATATACATATATACAATATATACAATATATATTTGTTAATCCTCTTATTTAGTAAGTACAATTTACATTTTTATAAAATAAGCTTTAGACTACGAATATGCAACAGACAGCCTATGGGCCAGAAACGACTTGCGAAGTTTTTCAATCCCGCTTACAACAATCAAACTTTATATATATAGTTGCAAAGAAAATAAAAAAACTCATAAAAAAAGAGATTTCACTTTGCCTAATCTCTATGTGGTTTCTAGATAAATACAGAGAAGACAAGATATATAAGTTCGAAATTTAGCTACGCGCGTGCGCAATCCATAATGTAATTTCAAATTTTTACATCAATTTTTTACATTGGGACCATCAAAAATCTTGCTTTTTCCTGTTTTAAATTATATGATTTAAGTAGGGGCATGCCAACTTTTCATATCTTACTTCGACCTGAAGGTCATTTATGCGATTTAGAATTTGTGTAAAACTTTTTTAAATTATGTACATCATATAAAAAATGCTTTAGGAATTAAAGTAATCTTAACTCATTTAGTATCGATTACGAATTAATATTACATAATTTATTGTATTTGGCTAATAGTATTGATCTCATATTGGTTTTTAAATATTTTATTTTTATCACTCTTTTAAATGTTTTCATTTTTTTTTATGTACGGTGGCGTTTTTTTACCTTTATAAGTTTTTTTTAGGGGTATATACCTATATACACATATATTTCAATTTTTTGTATTATTATTATTATTATTAGTATTATTATTATTTTCATAAACAATTTCATTTTTTCTTTTATATTTTTTTTAATTTAATAGATAATAATAGCATTATAGATAGAAATAATTTATAGATAGAAATTTATTTATAGATTTATAGAAATTCAATCAATAATTAAAATTATAATTAAAATCAAATTATTCGTTAAAAAAGAAAATATATAATATTTTTAAATTGTTATATAAAGTTAAATATTATTAAAAAGTATTAAAGGTATATAAGGTTATGAATATAAAGCGAATAACACACAAAATAATAAAATAATTAACTATCAAGAATTTTAAGAATTAAAATTCTTATAATCCAGATATCTAAATATATCTAGATATAGAATTATATCTAGATATAGAATTAGATATAGAAATTTCAGTTGTATAATAGGAAATATATTTTCCGAATATACAGGATGTAAATACGATTATATTATTAAATACGATTACATTATTTTTAAAATCAAGGATAATCAAGTATTTAAATCGAATTAAATAAGGTGTTCAAAATGATCACCTTCAGCACGAATGCAGGCCCTTATTCTTCTATCAAAGAAATTCCGAACTCTTTGAAAAACATTTGGATTCCTTCTTATTTTTTCAAATCCATGAATTATTTTTTGTATTAAATAAAAATAACAAATGTAAATTAAAAAATAAAAATTTTAAATTTAAAATAAAATTAAGAAAGATCAAGCGTAAATTACGATCTTTTTAACATAAAAGTGGTATAACTCGGAAACGACTTTTATTTCCGGATTTATGTTTATATAACTTTTTTTTTCTCTTTTTGGGTCTCGAATCACCTTTCGAAGTATTGCGGGCGATTTTTCGGACATCTTGTATAGCAACTTTCATCGCTTTGATTTGCATTACTTTTGTTTTTGTATTCTACGAGCAAAAGCAGTTTCTTCTTTAGATACTTCTATTGAAGAGATCATGACTCTCTTCTCGGAAGAATAAACGATATTAATATTTAAATACTAGTAATAAACGATATTAATATTTAAATACTAGTTACACAGAAGAAATAAAAGATTAAAGTAAAATAAGTTGAATAATTGTTATATCCGAACAATTTTATTTAAAAAATAAATTTTTCCAGTTTTTTTTTAAAACAATAAAGAAATAAAAGGAATCTTAGTGAAAAATAAAAGAGAAATTACTAGTGATGTAATCGGAGAAATGGATAATAATATGGAGATATGTAATAAATAATTTGGGAATAATAAAATATAATTGTTTTTCTTATGTGAGATATTTTGCTTTCGAGAATATTAAAATAAGAAATTAACAGCGCGCATTATCTCTATATTAAATTTACATAACTTTCAATAATAATGTCATAGATATATTATAAAAACCACAATCAAACCCTCGCATAAGAAGTCACACCAAATTTAGCCGCCAGGAAAAGCAATACAACAAACAATGCGTCACATTTCTTCTTAAGGATTTACGGGCTATTTGGATGGAATGAGACGCATTTTATTTATTGCTTTGTTTTTCTTGATGGCTAAAATCGATGAAGCTTCTTATGCGAGAGTTTTTGAAATATCATCGTATCATTCTGATTTTTGAAATATCGTATCATTCCGATATCACATAATATAATGATTTTCTGCTAATTGATTGTAACAAAATAGCCTGAAATAGCCCGAAATAGGAGCAAAACATCTTAATAAATATTTGCCTATACTTATATATAATTATTGGGAATTTTTTTATTTGTGCGCTATTTACTTCACGCTCAACTCTATTAGTCCGATTTTATTTATATACATGTTTGGAGTCTTGAAATATTTTACAAATAATTTATATTTGAGATGTATAACATAACATTTTAACCATAATATGTTATTTTACATCATCTATTATCATATATTTTTCTTAAATAAGTTATTAACTTTTTTATTTATTTTTTATTTATTTATTTTATTAAT